GTTATTTTTGATATAATGTGAATTTTTTTTTATAAAAAGATATCTACAAAATCAATTACACAGATTGTGTCTTTAAACTTGAAGATAATATACGAACCGTTAGTCCGTACATAGAAATGCATCGCTCAGGAACACAATAATCTCATGGCGGTGCAAAGTCCTCGGCCGAGGACAAAGGCATAGTTCGAGGTGACAAGCAAACAGACGCCGCTGCTTTTAATCCTGGATTAAATTTCGCGTGAAAATGGCGCAACCAAATCGGTTACCGTCGCGCGATAATCCGGCAATTCTTGTTTTTCTGATTCGCCTATAGCGATCGCGAGTTAGCGCGCGTCGCTGTGGAACAGCGAGCGCTATTTAAAGAAACAGAGGAGGAGATCGTTCGTTTGTTGTGCGCGGAACATCGCACAAGTCGTTTTCCTTTCTATTCCTTCGTTTAAACGGATTTAAACAGGTGCGCGCGCGCTCAGGGCCTAGCTACTACCAATGAGCGAAAGATATGCGACAAACGAACTGGCTTTTCTCGGCGTTCTTCTAATCTGAAGAAGCACGTCGGAAGATCGCGAGTGAAGATACAAGACATTTGCGTGCCGGTGAAGGGTCGCCGAGGGAAATTGTGGTTGTTATCGTTGATGCGTTTAATGTAAGGTCTGCAAGGTCTGCACAATATATAAGCTGTTCTCTGTGAAGAGGGAAAGAGAGAGAGAGAGAGAAAGAGCACACATATGTTTTTTTCTGTAACTATTCTTCTTCTCTTTCTTTCTTATACATATTTTCTTTGTTTTTAAATATATTATACCTTTAAATATTTTTTTTCTCTTCACCACATACCTATTTCAACTCTTTTAAAGTCGTCTGTCGTGCGCGTAACTAAATCCAGATGACATCAGCTACTTTTCACGTTTGCGTGCAAAGGATATTTCTCGCTCACACGGCGGTTACGACAGTCCGTTCGCGTTGCGTAACGAGATAATGTTCTTCTAAAAAAAATTAGCTAATGACCCTGTTTAACACACGGTATTACGTTTCTAGATGTTACTCTCATGCGCGTATACATGAAAAACACATTATGACGTGTTTCGAAGTGGAACAAAACAATATCCAACCGATATGATATCGCGCGTTGTAAAGTTCCATTGCTCAATTATGATTTTTTTATTAATGTCTGATTCGAATGTTCTGAATACTTTCGAAGAATAGAATCGGGGTTTTGAACGACGCGAGTCTCGCACTGAGATCGGTCGAGAGAAGATACGGGTGCGATTTTTAAAAAGATCCAAACACACTTTCTCACGTTGGGGCTGTACGTCGTATTTTCGTCTATCTATCATCACAAATCTTTAAACTGATAGAAAGATTGCGATTCTTCGACGGGTTATTTTTTCAACGCGCGAAATACCGTTGCAAAATAACGGTGACGATCGGATTTCAACGATATCCGAGAATCCTGGCTCGAATAATTTTACGCGGCATCGTCGTGACGCGCGATCGCCGCTTTCATCTCCGACATCCGGCGAGAGAGCATTGCATAACGAATTTATAGGTAACGAAAGGGCCGGTAACGAGGGAACAAACGACTCCTTGTCCGCAGAGACAAGTCGCGCCGGTACGAAACAACCGTTACAGCGATTTAGGTGTCGAAAGTCGAACGTCGTTTCCAACGACGACGGCTCTTTAAGACAGCCGGGACAATTCAATACCTCCGGCAGCGGCGAGAAACGCAGAAATCCTTGAACCGCGTCTCTGTTCAAGTCTGCATCTAATCACTATTTATGACATTTCTAATGACAACGCCACGTGATCAATAAATCGTGTCGTGACCTCTCACGTCCGTGGAATTGCAATCGTCCGTGTCGCGCCGATCGATCGCGTTGTGTATGCAATGTGTTGTCGTGCGATCGTAATTAAATAATTTTATAAACAGGATTACGTGCGCGATAAATCTTAACGGCAAGTTCTAAGTGACATATGAGGGATTGGTATGTACCGTTCCGATGTGTAGTTCATCACAAAGTAATAATGTGTTTCACGAACGTGTTATCGATAAAGAACGATTATCAACGTCTAACTTATTTCTCGCTAATTACAATACGACGTGTACAAGGTTGCGACAAAATTGTTATTGGACGATTCTGATTGCGCGCGTCATGAATCTATTATACATAAGTGCTTATGTAGTTAACTCGCTCGTAAATGATCGAACGACAATTCGCGTCAATGTGCGAGCCGACGACAGCGGCGACGATTAAGAATTATGTGAATCGTGTCCCCTGTTAATTTTCGGCGATTGCCCCGCGGAGCAGATGGTAATTTATGCCGAGAACGGAAATTTAAGAGATATACCCTCTTCGCTTTCCCCCTAGTAGCCCCTCGCGCGATACAATTAACTCTCGACGGGAGTCGCGAAGGGGGATAAAAGATTTGACTTTGTCCCACGGCTACTTATCAACCGCGCGAACAACAGAGACCGAGGTTTGTCTAATTGATAAGCTTCGAATCGAATCGGTAAATTATAGCGCAAGTTAATCAAACTTCAATGACTGTATTCTACGAAAAATATAATTTTATATATGTGTACACACGTGATATCGGAGAAATTTATATTTATACACAGATTGTTTGTCGCGCCACATCGCGCGTGAAAATTGATAATTATGCAGCGCGAAATTTATTGTTATTTTAATTAAAATATATTTCTTTCGATATTTCGAAACTCCTAAGTTTATTTTTTGCAGACGTAACACGTAAAGTATTTTTTATCAGAGAAAAAATATTACCCCCTTATCCTTCTTTTTTAATCATATTTCACGCGGTGAAATTTAGTGTCTGCGTGCGCTCCCGGTTAATCCCAAGTCTTCGCTGCGTAAGTGTTTTCACATCGCCCTGCATTATCATCGCCCCGCAATTTACGTGAGAGAGACACACGTGACACATGGCACAACTGATTACGCGCGGCTACCGTAAATCAACCGGATTATTATTTTACGACGAGCGCAATTTTGTTGCGATCATTGGGTAGTAAATCGTCGCCGGGCCGATACGCGCAAGCCCCGGGAGACGGAATGTTAATGTTTGCATAATTATGATAACTTGCGTCGTGATTCTATATTGATTTTTTTCACTCGCAACGAATTATAGGCGTTTTGCGATGATTTATTTACGCAAAACGTTGGGTTATGAGAAGCTGTCGTTTCTGCATCCATGTAACACCTGCTACTGTCAAAATGTATAATGATAAGTCAATTTTATTTATTACTTCCTCTCTCTCACCGTCTCCCTGTAATTTTCTCAACATTGACTGCTACAGCACATCAACCTAACTCTAACGGATTTTCGATTTTTTACGAAAAGTTTGTAAATATAAATCGACAAATAAGTTTATCCGATCCTCCTGTTTAGAAAACCCGAAATAAATAATCGAAGAAATACAAGCATATTGTTGTTTAATCATGTGTAAAGCACTCGTCGTATATTAAATATACAGTCACGCACGACTGTATTTATTAGCTTTTCTCTCCGTCTCCAATCTTCCTCATCAGCAAGTTCTCGAGGGAGACTTAAGCTTTCTCTAAGGCATGCCTTGATGGCGATCCATTCGCCGAGGCGCGCCTGATTGATTTCATAAATCCTCTGGAATGACCTACGGAAGACCCCCTTCGTCCTACGTAAAACGGTCGCCCTTTAATACCTCGCACTATACACGCGTCCCTTACGCAAGATTAGGCTGCATGAAATTAGGATAAGCCTGGAATGCATTCATCTCGATGCTAAGTTCCCCTTTATCTTTTTCTATATATGTATATATAACACATTACAGCACCGAGGGTGTTCCACTTCCGTTAAATTAATTTTTAAGGACAGAGAGAGATTTTCTCTTTGTCACTTTTAAGTGAATTTCTCTCATGGAAAATTTTAACGCCTGTCAGTTTCAGACGAATTACACGAAATTTAACTATTTATTACGGGATTTCGATAACATATATGTGAATATATATTTTTATTATTTTTTTAAACAATTTCTAATTAAAAAATCTTTCTACTTTTAGTTGCGGAAACAAATTGATTCGAAAATTTTTTTTTCCCAAATTGTGCTTCTTCATATTTTATTACCTCGTGTAACATGAGCTTTTCACTCTCAAACGGGTAATCAAATATAAAAACGCTACATAAAAATTCACACACGCTAATATACTCCTCGACGGTTTAATATATTTTTGCATAAAAATCACTCTTTTAATTTTCACGAGTAATCTCAACCAAAAATTGTCCGTTTATTTTCAATTTATCGATGATCATCCGTACTTCGTCGCCGCGTTATTGCACGGTCGTCGCAGCGGAGTCGCGCTTTTATCCCGCGATCTTTCATTTATCGAGCTGCGGCCAAGGTCCTTTTACAGGCGCCACGTAAATCCGCGCTTTATCTTAATTTCAGGTAGCGGATCGTCACGCCTGTTTGGCTATCTCTGTCATTTGCCGGGTCGCCTATCTCGCCTTGTTTCTTAATAGAACGAGAGCGCTCGATCTCGAAGGCGCAGTGTGGGTAACAGCACATAACGAGATACGGTCGACGGTAAACTCGAATATTACGCGCTAATGCGGGCGAGTTGACGAGAACGATTCCGACGCGATCAACTTGATCGGAGCCTCTCTTTCGCCTGGTGTGTAATTACATTTTGACGTAAAATTCTCAACTGATAATTAAAGATATCATTGAGTCCATTCGCGCGTCATTCCAAACGCCATGCGCGATCTTACTACTTTACATATCGGTAGTCAAGTTGACGTTCAAAACGTCACCGGAATATTCAATATGGAAAGATAAAATGTTTTCAAATACAGTTCTGTGGTACACAGATGATGAAAATAATGCGTGGGAGACGAAATAAATTATACTGAAGAAAAAACTCGGTATGCTAATTAACAGATTATCTTGTTTTCCTTTCTCTCTCTCTTTCTCTCTCTCTCTCTATCAACTATTTTTTTTCCTCGTTATGTTGCAGCGTGCGATTGCCATCCGATCGGAGCTTCTGGAAAGACCTGTAACCAGAGCACCGGCCAGTGTCCCTGCAAAGACGGCGTAACTGGTGTTACCTGCAACAGATGCGCCAGAGGCTACCAGCAGAGCAGATCGCATATTGCGCCTTGCATCAGTAAGTACACACCCACGCGTGCTTGATACCCGGTTTTCATTGCCACGTTTATCTTTTATTTCGATTCCGTTTCCGCCGGCGCTCGTCAACCACCCCAAGCCATAAGCTCGTTTTATGCGAGGCTAAGAGCACCGGTACATACAATGCCGGAAAGATAGCACTCCGACTACGGAGAATGGGAAAAATTCCTTGCGGTATATATGAGAGAGAGAGAGAGTGAGAGAGAGAGAGAGAGAAAGAAAGGGAGAGAGATGGCGGTACGCGATAAGCTCGGAGAAATGTTAAAAAGTTGTTTAAAGGAAATGGAAAAGAGCGTCTTAGAAGTCAGATATCTCGCGGTTACGTTTCTCTGGGATATTTTTGATTTTCTTACAGGAGCTTTTAAGAAGAACACTTCAAGCAGATCTTTTCAGAACGTCCGTGCGTAGCTTATCGCGAGCTGTCACGTACGCGGTCTTCACCTCGCGGGAACGAAATAAAAAAGTAACGTGTCACAAGTTCTTTTGTTTTTTGTCAGTTTGACTTATCGCGTCATTATCGACGCATTCGTGTACATATGAGCTGCGACACAAAACACGAAGTCGCTTGAGAAAAAAAGTCACACACAATGTCTATCGCCATGTCGATTTCGCGATCGATCTTTCGGACCGCCACTACCAGGGTGGCGAGAAGCTCGGCCAAAAAAGGCGCCGGAGTCGTTCGACCACACCCGTGCTGCTCCGAGAGAATGATCGATCGATCGATTGGCACGAACACGCGATGATGATCTCGCCGCGCGATCTTCTCGCGCTTGTCCAATTAGGCGAAATTTGCGAAAACGAGTGTGCACGTCGAATGTGTGTGTCGAGCACAGGATCCATCCTTCGCTGTAGTCGTCGCGAGCGGCTTTTCAGCCTTTCAATCAGGAATGAGTGTTCGCGTCACGTGCGTGAGATAAGATTAGGATTCATGCGCATCGCGTGAGTTTGATACGTACGATTTGCGTTCTTTAAGAATACCTACAATTAAATCACGCGATATCTGAAGTTTATTGTTTATTTATTTATTTATTTATTTATTTCGTCATCGAAGAAAACTCGAGTTTTTATCCTTACACCATGTTTCAAATTCTTGCAGAAATACCCAGGGTGGTGCAGACGCAGGGCACGGCAGGTGAGGAGAGCGGCGAGCACGAGGACGACGACGACGAGCGCGGATACGACGGACGAGCTGGTAAGTAAGTGCAAAGTAAACACACGCCGACTATATATTTCTGTCTCGTCCCTGCGCTATATACCTAACTGTCGTTTCTGCGGCGCTACTTGACATTCCGAACCGCGACACCGCGTTGAAGTCTCTGTCTCGGTGACACACTGAGCAACGTAAAAATCGCCGACGAACGACGTAAGGAGATAAAGTTGGTGGATGAAGGGAGAGAGAGAGAGGAGGAGGAGAGAAAGAAGAACGAACAACATTTCTCGGGCCCCCGGGAGACAAGCGTGTGTTGGCGTAGGTCGTTGTTCGGATGTCACGTATTCAGCGCTAAATGTCCCTCTGTCCGATTCGAAGTTATATTTGTCTTGTACGAAGGTCTAATACGAACGTGAGACGGGAATCAAGTAGTCTGCGTTCAAGCGTCTCGCGTGCGAAAAAAAATGAGTTGAGAACGCGTAACAATCGAAACGCACGAGTTTCTGCATTTTTTAGTCGAAATCGCGAACGCGACAAGACTTTTTTTTCTTCGAATTCGACTCGCGTCGAGATCTTTCAGCGCGACAATGGAATTCGCGCGCATCGTCGGAATAATAACGCAATTAACAAGCGGCGAGAATTAATTATACTTTACAATCTTTACGCCTCTAATAAAACATCTTTCAAATGGAATCCGCGTACGCGCCGATGGACTTCGTGTCATTTTAACTGACTTTTGCAAGTTAAATATTTGCAAGAAAACGTGAAGAAACTACAAAACCAAATTGCATGCGCACTTCATCGAACTACATCGATGTATCCGACGTGAGTGTAGATTGGATAAATTATCATTGCGGATCTGAGTCTGCGCGCGATATCGCGCTATGTTATTTCCGCAAATTTAACAGGAGCCCGGATGGAAGGAAGTCGATCTGGATACGGAAGCCTCGTCGCCACGTGGTAGAACGGAATGCGGGTGCTATATTAATTTAGCAGACAGAGCAGACGGTGAGCGAGCGAGACGCTTAGGGTCGGGATCGTCTAGTCGCTCGGTCGCAGCCTCTCAGCCACCCCTATAATGGCTTAATTAAAACTACCCTCGCTCGCAACTCGCCCGTTTACTCTCGCGTTTCCACTTGCTATACGACGTGCAATTCTCGCGGTAAGCTCGTATAAGCCACGCGAGCGAATCCTTTACGAAGAACGATTGATAAGTATCCGAAACGATAAACAACAACTTATCGAGTTGAAATTATTTATTTTTCAATATGGTCGCCTTCCACTTCACCTTCTACACTTTAACCTCCTCGCTCATGTTACTTATTAAGTGGAACGAAAATTCTCGAACTCTTGATTTATGTCATCAATTGCTTCATTGCTTTATTTCTTTCCTACGAGCCATTTTTTCTGATTCGGAAATCGCACGGGGCCATATTTTGAATAAGAAAAATGTGGCAGCGCGACTCGAACGAAGTTCAGCTCGTAAATTTTGACACTTTGATAGTTAAAGTGGGAGTTATCTCGAAGTGCATTATCTTGAATCACGTAAAGAGCGTTTATTTTAGTGAACTGTCACGCAAACACTACGTGCGATAATGAATCAGCGTTTGACATTTGTACCTCTCTAATAAAACTTGTCAATGACAACAGCAGTGTAATATTACAATCGTTATCTACGCGTCGTTTCGAATACTTATCAATCGTACTTCTTGTACTTGAGACGTCGATGCGTCTCAATGCATTTTGACGCGCTCGGTATTTACATACTTGTGTGTTGAAACCGCGAGTGCAAATTTATTCTCGAGATTGCGAGAACTTGAAAATTCATCGAAAAGTTCTGAACACTTCATTTAAGATTCAAAGCAAATGTTCGCAACTTAAACATAGCGTTGGTTTTTTTTTTTTTTTATTGGTATCTAAGTATGCAGTATATTGTTGAACAAATAAGAAATTTACGCGCGCGTGAGGATTAAGTTATAAGTGAAAAGTGTATTAAAGTTTTCTCTGAGTCTTATATGAAAAGTTTTATGAAAAATATATTAAGAGTTGCGAGAAAACAATTTTGTTGAGGAAGATGAATTAAATACTGGACGCAATTTTTTTTATATCTACACAGTTTTACTTGGTTCTTCTGGAGACTTTTAACGAGAAAGAGCTTAATCTTCTAATTTAGCGTCATCCCCATCTCACGGCACACACAAGTTACCGTTTTAAAGAGATTTTAATATCATTCGATCTTCTATATATATATAGAAAAATGATTTCTCTTTGCGCTTAATAAAACTGGTTTAATTTGCATGCAAATTGGTTTCTTATATCGCTGATTACAGCTCTGAGATAAAAATGAATTCGAAGTTACAGATCCGATGCGTCTGTCTGAATAAACAAAAAAAAAAAAAAACAATTATATAAAAAAGATTGTTTAATATACAACTGTTGTAGCAATCAAATCAAGCGGCGCTGCTGACAAAAAATGTTTTTAATTAGCAAAATCGAACTGATAAAAAAATAATATATATCTCGTGTCCGACAACGAGGATTGAGCGATTTTTCCGGACGGAAAAGTGACGCGTGAAAAGTGAGAGGCCCTCGTAGTTGTCGTCCCTCTCGAGTTCTCTCTTGTTACATCGAATGCACACGTTTCTACCCACGCATGCTCCATATAACGCAGAGCGTAGATTACATCTCGACGCTCCCTGCATTTTGAACGCGAGTGAAATATCGACGCGCCAAGAGGAGTATCGCGATCATCAGTGTTTGCACCTGGAGTCAGAGTTTGCCCCGCGGATGCTGCGGATACTAATTACTGAAATATATCCACGGATACATTATTTCTGTTCAACAAAAATTTATTTCCGATTTCTACACTCGCGTGTAGATTTTTTGACTGGTACTGTTTGTGAGCGCTTGATTTTATTTCTTTTTCTCGTTCGCAACTTTTAACATTTATTCGTGAAACATCCTCTACGCGAACTCTCGCGAGCTAACTAGTTTACATACTGAGGCGGGAATTATCGCGTCCGATTTTGCTTTGCGCGCGCGCGCGCACGCGCTATTTTTCGCTATCGTTGTCCGTTCGCGCGTTCTTTACGAGACGCGTATAGAAATTTCGCGCCGCCTACGCGACGCGCATAATTCCGCGCGTAGATTACGCCGCGCGACGCCACCTACTCCGTTTCGCGCCGGAGTGAAATATCGACGTGCGAAGGAGAGTAGTATCGTGTAATCGAATTTACACCTGGCGAGTGTCGCGCCGTGCGGCGCTGTCGCTGTAAATTCTTGCGGGGAAACTGCCGCGGGAACGGCCCGCGTAAATTATCCACCGTAATAGGCCTCCTGGAAATACCCCTCTCTCTCTCTCTCTCTCTCTCTCTCTCTCGCAATCTCTCCTCCTCCTTCTTCTCCTCCCCCGCAGAATCGCGATCCCGATCTCCTCATTTCGATTATGCCGCGATATAACGTCGGGAGTCAACGATCTTGTTTCAGGGGATATCGAGGGAAGATAAATAAACCGAGATCGCGTTGAGGCAAGAATTATCGTAGCTTAACGAGGTGTCAGTAATTGCGTAAATAATAGATAACGATAATAAAAGATTTCATTCAATTTTCCGCTCGATTCGATTTCCTGATTAAAACTCGCGATTGCGCGATTTTTATCGCGATTAGAAATTTAAACTTAGATTCGCGCGCCGAGAAAATGCGCGTACCATACAAATAAAACCTAAACTAAATATCGCGAAAAATCGAATTCCCGCGAAGAGAGCATCAAGTTCAACCTCATTAGGTATTCCAAAGGGTTGTGAGAGAACATCCGGTAGATCCAAGACATCCTGCATAACGAGTCGATTTCGAGATTAAATCACTCGTTAAAAAACGCCAGACCGAACCGGTATCGAACAATTTTTTGCATCTATATATTCGTTCGAAGGAACGGGCCGCGATCGAGATTAAACCGATCTCGATTTTCACGTCTTCGAAATTTCATTAGGATAAAGTTCGCGCTTCGTGCGCTCGTCCTTCTCTCTCTCTCTCTCTCTCTCTCTCTCTCTCTCTTTCTCTCGTCGCGTGCAGGTTTCAGACTTCATTACCGGTTTTATTCTCGCGCGCTTCTTCTCTCGTTACTTCTTCGCTTGATGGTAAAGCGAAGCCTGTCCTATCTCGTTTATTTTTCAATTTCCGCCACCTAACTTCGCGATTCTGGCGCAGTAAGTTGATCTGCAAGTGAATCTGTAACGCCGTATAACGATCTCTGTTATGTTATCGCGCTCGGCGAGAATCCGCGCGAGACATATATATAAAAAAGCGTCAGATAAGAAGATATCGAAACTTGTCCGTAAAGCTCTCACTTGGCGCCCGGGGCAAATATCATCGCGATGCTTGTACATTATAGGCATATATATGCATGATGACTGTACCATCCAAGCGCGCACTTTAGAGAGCGAAATACAAGCCTACCAACATCATCGAATGTTGTTCGAAGGAGGTTTGCGTATTTTGATTGCAAATAACTTGGAATACACGCGCACGTACTAAGAGGGCGATCGACGATGTTTTTATATACTTCACGGATCAGTCAATTTCAAACGTCATGTCGTTGAGCGAAGGTCTCTTCGCGTATCATCCTCGCGCACGCGTACAAGCGCTTCTGTTCGTGAAAACAAGAAGACCAAGTCCTAAACAAAACACAATGAATCTTCTAAATCGAAAACGTTAAATTACTTTCGATTAGCTCGATTGAAAGAGACTCTGTCCGGAAAAAATCCTAATGTGCGGATTCGAACTCGGGATTTTCCAATATTCGCAACCCCTACACTCAAGCCGCGGGATTATAGTGAGAGCCGGTCTCTTTAATCATTCTTCTCTTTACTCTTAATCTTTCTTAATTAATATATTTCTTATTACTCGTGATATATCGTGTTTGATATCTGGTGAAACGATTATACGTAGGTGTGCTTCGGGTTTAATATCCCTACACATTATTATTACAATATACGGCTTATAGTCCCAGAGCGATGTGCGTCTCTCGTCCGGGGGATCCACTT